ATTGTGCCCCTGAGGAGATAAGAAGACAGGACATGCACATCATGATAGAAAGAAAATAATGCTCCTACCACTTTTGATCTTAAATTAGGTGAAATAAAAAAAGAGATACTAACATCTTTTTAACATGTGTGTGTATCCTGCAGCATTACTGCCAGTAAACGGTTTTTCCGGCGCCATCCCTGCCAGTAAACGCTGTTGACATCAGAAGTGCTTCTTGAGCATTTGGTTTATGTTCTCCTTCTGTTAACAGGCTCCTAGCAAACGTTTTATGCTTTTGAGCTTGATGCTGTATGAACTTTTACTGTCTGGGAGTTAAATACACAATTATGAATCTCCATCTTCTGGATGGAGATTCATAATTTGCCTCCTAGCCTCACATGTACACTTTCTGGGGTCCCATGCAAGCTACCGTCAGAGTAAACGGAGGAGCTCATTTATTTCCTCCCATGGACATCTCATGGGACTGGGCAGCGAAACAGCAGAAACAGCTACCCCAGTCAACTCACCAATAGCAATTGGGTCAGTAAGGTGTGGGATGGGAATTTCCCACAGGTGAAGGTAAAACACCAAGCCTATCATCCTCCAGTCCTTTCAGAAGATGTCTGTGAGTTATCAAGTTTCATAGGTAATTCCAGGGGCAGCTTCACCCATGCTTGGAGATGTGCCTTGAAGTTTGAACTCAGCTGTGTTTTTATTAATGTACTATTATTTACTGGGCAGCAGCCTGAACTGGAAAATGCTGTTCTACGTGGGGAGTGTGTCCACACAGCGGTTAGCCTGGATGTAAATTGCAGTCAGGCAGGATCAGGGTTTACTGTGCTAGGAGCTGCAAAGCAGGAGGGAGGTCCTGGCCCCTGTCCCAAGCAGCTTTCAAACTACTGGAAGTGCAATAGTAAATGCATACTAGAAAGTGAGTTGCCATATCCTGGAGTTAGAAAATATATTTTCTATGTTTCATGAAACACCTCAGATGATGGATCTATCTGTAACACAGTATTTACATTCCAAAGAATTCATGACTAGTATTTCTCTAGCTGTTTTAAGAAAAAAAAATAGCTTGGCAAGAAAGGACAATTAGACAATTTGAAGATGTAATTTGGAAAACACTCTTCACTGCATTTTTAACAGCATCTTCAAGCTGTTTATGTTTTTAAGGAGTAATTAAATTATTTGAACTAAGTCACTGTAACTTCAATGGCTGACTATCTCAGGATGTTGATTTTCAGCAGTTAAGTTACACAGTCCATGCTCTCAATTCAAATGTTGTTTATCTTGAATTATTACCCAGTTATGCTACTTCTAAAGACGTTTCTTCAGGGTAAGGGAAAATGTCTCCAAGCACGCTGACAGGTAGATGTTTACAGCTGCTGGTGATTTCAGGTTTAATTGTGACCTTTCAGAGTTGTTCCTGCATTTTCCACACACTCATTGCTTAACATTTCTCAGTGTTTTCACTGGGGAGTAAGTGCTTTGTATCCATCCAGATTTATGTTCTTGCTGTTGCTTGGCTTACTCAGTTATTCCGTGCCTCAGCTCCTCATTTAGTGCAAACTTTCTGTGCCTTGTATGATGGAAACAAAGATGCGATATTTCTCCATGTTTGCAAATTATTGTGAGCTTATTAGATGGCAAATGGTTTATATAAGGAAAACTTATTAGCTGCTTGTATAAATGCAGAGGATTCTTCTGATCGTTAGGGCTATCAGATTATCAGAGCCTCATGCTAACATCCTGGCTTCTGCCAACTTCCTGAGACACCTCAGCAATTCACTTGGTCTCCTAATAGATGTATTACTTCCTCCCCCCCTTCTATGCAAAATGAAATTATAGCATTTATGTATTTCACTGAATGGTAGTGGGGAAAAAAATGCATTGAAGACTCAAGTGATCAAATATGTTAACATGGGCTTCACAGCCACAGAAAATGCTGTTAAGTTGTTATTTAAAAAGTAGAGATTTGTTTCTTGTGGGAATCATGGCAGAAGTAGAGTTTATGGAACGATTTGAACTAGAACTTTTTTGAGAGCAGATAGGGTCTATGAAATCTGAGACATGAAACTCTAAGCAGGGAAAGGGCATAGGAAAGAAGTAGTCAAATAGGGTGTTACAGCCAGTGTCATTAGTGGATGGTTTATAGATTTTTATTTTTTTATCTTGTCTGCTCACGTAGTGTTGATTTATTAAGTGGATATACAATTTGGTCACCTCAAGGTGTATTTTATATCTAATTTTATAAACTAAAGGATTTGGAAACCTAATCAATACCTGCAGAGATGACTTCAGAGGGAAGCTTTCCTGTTAGAGGAAGAGTTTGGTGAATCACCAAGTGGTGCCCTTCTGCGCAGGCAGTATGGAAGAACTACCCAAATGCAACATGAGACTTTGTGCAGGACTTGCCAACTCTTGGATGAGTCCTGGAACAAAGGTTTATTGCCTGTGGATTAATGTTCTAGCAATTTGTTTGTTTGGATTTTTTTGTTGAGAGTGAAGCATCCATGTGTTGACCAGTACTCTGGCCTGGATTCATTGCCTTTGTTTTCATCGGTGTTTAAAGTGGGCATCGCATGTTGTATTGCTTGTTTTGAATTGAAGCATGTAACAAAAAAATTCGTTTATAAAATAAAAGTTGCAATCTCTCTCAAGTCATCTAACAGTGACTAAAGCAGCCCAATATAATATTGTTTGGGATAAAAATTTTATTATTATGTGATTACTACTTGAATGCTATAAGCATGAAAAAGTTATTAGAATAATTTCCTGTAGAATTACACTGAGTGGCTATTAAATATTAATAAATAGAAAGCATATACTGCATACTAACGTCATATGAAACATTCTTTGAATTAAAGCCATTTGCCATTTAAAAAATAATATTTTAAAAATGAGGCCTCATTAGATGAGATTTTTTTTAAAAATTGAGTTTTGATCTGGTTCCATTTTTAAGAGATAAATTGAAAACTCCTGACAAGAGGACGTTAATGGAATTATTTACAGACTGTTAATGACACAAATGCTACCCTCCAATACTTAATGTTATTACAAGTTATATACAGATTCCTTTGTCAAGAATATATTGCAGAAAAGCTCTTAGCAGACAAGCTGTACGTGGCTGTCAAACAGTTTGAAGGAATGTAGGGAGCCTATGAGAATGCTGGAGAGGGACTGTTTGCAAAGGCATGTAGTGATAGGACAAGGGGTAGTGGCTTTAAGCTGAAGGAGGGGAGATTTATGTGAGATACTAGGAAGAACTTCTTCCCTGTAGGGTTGGTGAGGCACTGGAACAGCTTACCCAGAGAAGCTGTGGATGCCCCATCCCTGGAAGTGTTCAGGGCCAGGTTGGATGGGGCTTTGGGCAACCTGGTCTAGTGGAGGGTGTCCCTGTCTGTGGCAGCAGGTTGGAACTAGATGATCTTTGAGGTCTCTTCCAACCCAAACTATTCAATGGTTCTATGATTTGGGATTCTCTGCCCAGAGCAAATGGGAGACAAACTGATCGGAGAAAGGGAAGCAGGAATCGATGACTGAACTGCCAGCACCTGGTCCTGCTTCCTCCTTCCCATGGTGATACTTACACCAAATATGTGTTGTCCCTGCAGGACGTAAAGTGCTTTGATACCCCGTTTTGCGAAATGATTTGTACTCTGTGGATGAAAAATACCTTTTAAGCACAACATATTAATTAAAAAAAAATGCTTTTTCCAGCAAAGAAATAGGGTCGGGTAGTAAGTATATGTGTTTAAGGCTTTGTTTGTACTTGGAACTTCTTATAAAAATATGCTTGGGATCTACAGTACAGAAAAGACTCAAAGCCCAGGTGGTTTAGATTCTGTACAATCAAGCCATGAATTAACTTCACTTGCCTGAAATAAAAAAAATAATCACATCTTCCATTTTTCCAGTCTCAGGTTTCTAGGCTTAGTCAGTAATACCTGCTTATTTATCAGCCCCACACAAGACAAGCGGCTTCTTGCACAACAGCTCTCTCCTGCCCCAGTTCTGTGCCCTGGTGCCAGAGCCCTTCTCAGGCCGAGCTGCTACGAGTTGCAGGGCGTCCTGCAGCCCCTGCCCAGCAGCACCGGGGCCCATGCTTACTGCTCGTGCCCCAGCGCCGCGCAAAGCAAGGATGCGGCTCTGAGGCCGTTTGCAGGTGCGGAACTCTGTGGTAGTATAGCTGTCCTGGGGGACACCTGTGGTGTCTTCTCCCTTCAGCATGACAGAAATACCAGCTACTGTTTGCTAGTCCATTAGCATCAGTAGCAGTGAGTATTTTTTTTTTCCAGCTTGTAGTAGACCTTGAAACAATTATCTAAATTTTAGTGCTAGTGTTACTGTGAGAAGGAGCTCCAAATGGATGGTGCTCATACAATTGATCTATTTCTAAAAGAAAATCCTCTTTAGCTCTCAGAATATCAGATTTGCCACTTTTGCATAAGGTTATATTTGAAAACCTGAAAGACATGGAAGGTGCATGCTGTCAATGTTTTATGGCCTGCAGTGAAGGATTCTTAACCTTTTCATTCTAGTTACCCTGATAATGCTTTTTCCCCATATCAAAATAAATTTTAATTGATTCCTCCGCCATGCTTTTGGACTCATTTAAGATGCTTCACATTGAAATGTGCTGTTTGTGTGAAATCAGCTGTCACAGTTTTTCAGGAGCAATTAAGAGGAGGGCTCTTGTTGTAAAAGATTCTCAATTTCTGATTCCGGTTCCCCAAAATTCATTTATGTGAAAGTAAATATTTAATATCTGCCAGGCTCAAATAACTAAGCTACACTTCAAAATAAATTGAATAGTAAATATCCAATAGTCCTAATTTGCCACTAACATCTATAAACATTTATCTTCTATCCAGTTGGAATGGACGTTGACAGATCTGCATGTGTTTAGCCATAGGAGGCACAGAGCAATACTTCCTCAGCTGTTTTATCCTCACCCTGAGAATTTCTCGGTGCTGCTGAGACAAGAGAGGTAATTGGATGTTCTTCTTTTCTGTCAGGTACTGGACTGGATTGAAAATCACGGAGAAGCCTTTCTGAGTAAACATACAGGAGTGGGAAAGTCGCTACACAGAGCACGTGCGCTGCAGAAAAGACATGATGATTTTGAAGAGGTAGCACAGGTAAGAGTCTGAATCAGAGACTTCTACTTTCTGGCTTGATTTTTTTGTTACTCCCCTTCTATACTGAGAAAAAACTGTTGTTGTTTTGGGGGCCTGTATATTCACATCACTCTCTTCAAACATTTGGAGCTGACTGGGATGCTGTCTCGCAGGGTTGAAAGTTTGCATGCGTACTGCAAGAGCATGGTAGCAGCAGGACTTCTAATCAGAAAATCACTGCGTTGAGTCAGAGGGAGGTCTATGAGAAATTACTGGCAGTTTACAGGACAGTAATGCAAAGTGTTGGGACATAGAAAAGGATGGTTATGAATGACAGCAATAGAAAAATCAGTAGTAACTGCTGCAGTGGAAACTGAGGACCTTGAGAATAAGGTGAAAAGCAGCAGTTAGTAAAGAAGCAGGGAAAACACGAGAGTGTGTTTGCAGTAAGAGCAACTACACTTCCGCTGTGTCCGAGAGTGCAGGGTATTACGTGGAAGGGTTTTTTGTTTGTTTGGGAATGAGAGGCAATCATTACAGGTAGACATAATTTTTTACATTTATATTTTTTTCCTCATAACACAGCATAAGCAAGGCTTGTCTTGGAATTTTGGTATGAAGCCAAAAGCTTCCACATAAAAGCTTGTAACTTTTCCTCAAAGCATAGTCATAGTAGATGTTTAAACATACATCTTGCCTTCAATTATAAACTTTAAAAGAAAGAGGACCTTTGTTAATTTCTTCAAGGGACTGAACAGCTTCCCTCTTTCCTTCCCCCTCTTTCCTTCCCCCTCTTTCCTTCCCCCTCTTTCCTTCCCCCTCTTTCCTTCCCCCTCTCATTTCCCCCCAAAGGGTTGATATTTTGAAACCCCCCCAAAAAAAAAAAAAAAAAAAGAATCTTATGGCCAGAAATTATCCAGTCTCAGCTCTGGCTGTCAGATCATATTACACCTTTTTGTTTTAGATTTGAAGCATCCTCTATCAGAAATTGATCTTCTGTAAAGGTACTTCTGCTTTGGGTATTTCAGATAAAATCCTGATTGATACATTCTGCTTTACATAGATTAAACGTTTGTCTTCCTGATGCACGCAAGGCAGGTTATTGCTCAAATATTTCACTATGGCATAAGACAGAAATGTATGAGATTTTATTTTTGCTTTTTCTGTAGTACCCTTTCCATGTGTTGGCCCAGTTTAGTTTAAAATGTTTCCTGCAACAGACACCTATCTCTTTCACTTTGCCTGCAGGGAAACTATTTCACTGCCTGATGGCAGCTACTGTCTTGATACTTTTTTTTTTTTTTTTTTTTAACTCTCTCTTGTATTCAATTTATATTTCTCTGAATCTCCCTCCCCCCACCTTGTTTATATCCTTTTAGTCTTATTTATCTCCCTTAAGGAGATAAATACCAAGGAAGGAGATGAATTAACAACCCTGAAATATCTGTAGAATGTTAGCATGTCTTCTCCTATGCTTCTTAACCATGTTAAACATATTTAATTCTCCTAGCATGTTCTTATCGACCAATGCCTTAAATCTCTTTTGTTACCTATTTCTTTGGACCCATTCACTTTGCCAACATCCTTCTTTTAATTAGATGTTCAGCCCTGGTGAAATACTCTCTTGCTTGGTTCGCTAGTGAACTTCAGTGTTACCTTTCAGCTGTGATGGGATGTCTCTGCATACCATTGAAGAATCACACAGCCTGAAAGCAGCAGTTCTAGATTGGTGGGTCCCTAAAATTTCATAGGACCTCCTGTGGATTTGAGTCTTCTGGCAATAGGCTTAAATTTCTAGAGTTACCTTTTGCAAATTTATTAAAATGGACCTTAGGCTGGAGGTTGCAAACCACAGTTGTACAGAGCTTCATCCAAAAGCAGAAGTTAGTGAGAGGTTTCATCCTGAAATCAACATTAGGCGCCTTTCCAGAAGATGTGCTTGGGTCAGCTGTTGTTGGATGTAACGAATGAAAATGAAGATCATGTAACATAAAGGAGCTGAAACTAGATTTAATGTCCTTTTTGGCATTAATATTTTCTGAATCTCCATTCTCTATGTCATGTTAGCTTCATAATTTCTGGATCACAGTTAGCTTTCTTCTTTTTTTACCTCCTCTGAGTAGTACCTCACTAGAGATGTAGGAAACAAACGAAGAACAGGTAAGGAAAGACAGAAAAATAACATGGTCTTGACAACAGAGATGAGAGCAAGCTGTGTAACTGACTGCACATGGAAAGAACAGCTTGCTCCACTGGATGATGCAATTTAGAGATACATTCCCTCATCAGGGTTTAGGAACCTTGCAGGTGTACAGCTTGCCTGTGTAGGTGCTAGGGTCAGTCAGAATAGAATTATTTCACTTAAGACTTTTCTAACCCTGTTGTAGTCCTTATTCTCTACTATATCAGCATGTCTGTTTGTGGATAACTTTAGACACATTTCCATTCATTTCACGAAGCTGAATTCAGAGCAAAGGGTGTATGAATCTAGTTCACTGGGTGACCATATGTGTTCAAATGAAGGTGAGTGTTTGGGAGGAGGATGGAGGAAGAGAAAAGTACAGTTTGCATGGGTATAGAATCTCTTGGGTTCCTCTGAATCTGATTCTTTTACATCTTACGTGATATCATCAATAAGCATCTCATTGCTCTACCTCGACAATTGTGAACAGTCATGATTGGTTCTGCACTCCGAGCATGAAGTTTATGGTGCCTCCTAATTAGAAATAACTGACACAAGTCAAACCTGGTTACTTCCCCTTTGGCTTTGACAGGAATAGTTCCCTCTGGTGCATTCACACCAGAATACCATTGCTAATTTATGAGGCCTGTCTGCAGTGTGACACTGGAATGTGGTGTTGGCAAATGGACATGGGGACATGCGCTGAGGGGAAGTGAAAGGAATCTCAGGCTTTATCTGAGGTCAAGGACTTAAGAATATAATACACTCTGCTTTGGAAAGAGTAATAGTGAGGGTAAGAGGGAAGGCTATAAATTTATCACACCTGGAGTTCTCCTGCAGAAGCTTCTAGTGAGGTCGATTTTGTGGTTGGGGAATAAATCTCCTCCCCACTCTGATTATGATCAGTTTTTATTCTTCCTAATTCCTTCCTTGATGCTTAACTCTTTAGAGTTGGTTCGTAATTAATTAACTCTAACTTAAGTTTAATCATTTGTAATTTTTCTCACTATAATGAATATCTTTGCCATGGCTAGGCTGGTTAACTAGCACTGCTTATTCCCAGAATAGCCATATAATAAAGTACATGTGCTAAGATCCTGAAACTCCTGATGAGTTTGCCCATTTCCCTCATCAGGATGTTAATTACTGGTGTTAATGAGAATAAAAAGAGTTGTGTTTGTTTTGCTTAAAAAATAATAAATGTAGGGCTGACATACCTGGTGGATTGACACTATAAGCAATAGTATTTGCTATTGGCAGTTCTCTGAAAAAAACACTTAGCCTGCCATACAGTATAAATTTATTCTCCAAAATCTACTTTCTTTTGGCTGTGATATATTTGTTCTTATCTCCTACTGTTTCAGGAAGGTATTTGCAGAGGTCAGACTGGAAGCAATTTTCATGAGTTTTCCTGATATTTTCAATAGTGGGCAAAACATTCATGTTTCTGAATGCTGCCTAAGTGCATGTAAAGAAGAGTGGTGTATCTGAGATTGCTGTGCTGAGAAATGCTCTGATTGACTGACCTGCCAAGGCACTAGATTGAGAGGTGGAACGTGCTCCCTCTGTGTCTGATTAGAAACTCCACAGATTTATAAATCTGGATGTAATGATCCAATCAGGCATGGCCCAAATAGATCACATTCCTGCATACAGCTGTGCTTGGAAAATGTCAGTGATTTTAGAAGACTGCATTGTGGGAAATAGGAAATATAATTTGGGGTCCCTTTCTCTCATAACTGCTGTTTAGACAATGCTGTGGCAATTTTTCTGACTGCATTTATTCTACATGGGACACACAGATGGCAAATGTTTGAATTTGGATTAAAAAGCCTGAGCTCCTGGGAGGGAGGTTGTTATCTTGAATATACCTGTGAGTGTTTCTCAGCCAGTGCTGATACTGTTCACAGACTGCCATCCTGAAAATGCCAACCTTAGGCACAGTGCCTCCCACACAGTGAAACAGAGTAGTCAGGCTTATCGATGAGGTAGGTAGGAAGATATCGCCAAAGAAATACCACTCTGTAGATGTAGCCGCGATGTTCCGGCAATGAGAGCCTCTTTGCTTATCTGGAATTACTTTGTGTTAATCAGGTAACCATAGTTCAGCCAGTTATGATTGTAAAAAAAAATCCAAAGATATTCTCACTTTAGACTCTCTAACTTTTCCTTATTCAGGGCTTTTATCCTGAAAACCAGTTGGAAAATTCTGTTAACTGGCTTGCATTCCCAAAAATCTCCCAACACTTTAGCACTAGAGAGTTGAGCTGCACGTGCTGGAAACCCTTCTCCTATTCTCTGTATATGAAGAGGACAGCCACAGATCATTCTCTCTTCTGGCATTCCCAGCAATTGTGGGTTAAGATGGCCTTCTCGACATCTTCCTCTTCTTCACAAAGAGCATCACTGCCTTTGTGCCAGTGCAGAATTAGGAAAGATGCTGGGGAAACTGCTCTGTTAATCCCTTGCACTGTGCTGCAATACCACTCAATATTGAGTGGTTTTGTGCTTTGAATGATCTGAAACAAGCATTTCTGTAGGCTTTCGGCATTTATGAGCTTTTTCCATCAGATGTGCTGTTAAGATTTCCTATCGGGCAGGTCTAGCCGCATTTTTGGCGTGCAAATGCCCACCAGTACGTATTTCAGCCTGCAGATGGCACTCGCAATGCGCTGTAGAAGCCTTCAGCTCCGCTAACGGTAAGCAGAGCTGATGTTTCCAATCCAAACTAACCAAACATTGTCTTCGAGTGAAATGAAGCAGAAGTGGAAGCTGGCTCACACGCTGTCCCCTTGGTGTTCTTACACCCCTGCCAAAACCCACGTTGTTCAAGGTCACT